CTGAATAATTGGGCCATTGATTACTTCTGAAGCATAAATTAAGCCCACCAAATCAATCTTATTTGGACTTCAAAATTACAATAAAAAGGTTTCCAGATGACTTTTGGTTTACCTATTTCAAATTATTTCCTTTGATAAATCTTTCTTTTTTGAAAAGACTTATGTATTAAATTGTTACACTCTGTCATTCTTTAAGTACTAATAACAGCACATCCAAATACATCTCACATTCTGCTTTCATAATTTACTAACAAAGTTAAGATGCATGTAGGAATATTTTATTTTACTTTTTTATGCTTATTTATTTATTTTGAGAGAGGGAGAGAGTGTGTGTACATGAGCAGGGGAGGGGCAAAGAGAGAGGAGAGAGAATCCCAAGCAGGCTCCATGTTGCAAATGTGGAGCCCCGTGCGGGGCTCAATCCCACAAACCACGAGATCATGACCTGAGCTGAAATCAAGTGTCAGAAGCTTAACCGACTGAGCAGCACAGGTGCCTCAACATGTAGGAATATTTTAAAGAAGTCTATTGGAGTCTATTGGAATTATTAGTGGCATTCTGTTTTTTAAGAGCGGGAAAAGTCATAAAAAGGAAATCTCTTCTGAAAAGAACAAATACGTGTTCACAATTCCTGATCTGCAGTTCTGAAATCCTCCAAACAAAACAATGACAAATATATGTATCTCCTCACCTTTACTGGGGCGCCTGGGTGACTCAGTTGGTTAAGCGTCTGACTCCTGATTTTGGCTCAGAGCATGAGCTCACGGTGCGTCAGGCTCTGCGCTAACATCTCAGAGTCTGCATGGGTTTCTCTTTCCCTCTCTCTCAGCCTCTCTCTCTCTCTCTCTCTCTCTATCTCTCTGTGTCTCTCATAATCAATTAATAAACTTAAAAAAATATTCTCACCTTTACTGCAGAAATGTAAATGTGGGGGTGCCTGGGTGGCTCAGTCAGCTAAGCATCTGACTTCACTCAGGTCATGATCTCACAGTTTGTGGGTTCAAGGCCCACATCAGGTTCTGTGCTGACAACTCACAGCCTGGAGCCTGCTTCAGATTCTGTGTCTCCCTCTCTCTCTGCCCCTCCCCTGCTGGTGCTCTCTCTCTCTCTCTCTCTTCTGAAATAAATAAAATAAAAACATAAAAAAATTTTTTTAAGGAAATGTAAATGTGTATGTGCTCGGGATGCTGGCCCTGGAAGAAGTACCCTACAATATATGGTGTATGTACTATATTCCCTTTACAAAATCTTAAAATTTCTGATTTAAGAGAAATATCTGGCCTCAAGGGTTTGGGACGAGAATCACAGACCTGTCTTAGAAAAGTCTAGGACAGATTATAGGATAGAAACAAAGTATAGGATAAAAAAGGATAGAGGGATGCCTGCGTGACTCAGGGAGTTAAGCATCGCCCACTCTTGATTTTGGCTCAGGTCATGATCTCACAGTTGTGCGATCAAGCCCTCCACACCCAGTGTTGAGCCTTCTTAAGATTCTCTCTCTTACTCTTCCTCTGTCCCTCCCGATTATCATGCCCACACTCTCTCTCTCAAAAACTAATGAAATAACTAACTAAATAAATAAAAGTATAGGATAGATATTTATATGGCATGAAAATATGCCAGATATATATCTGGCAAATGAGTCCAGGAGTACAGATATTTCGTGATATGAAATCTGAGAAAAGAGTCAGATAATTACCAGGCTGACCTCCATTTAATTAGTAAGAAAACTAGGTGGGTGGGGGGCATTCAGCAACTTGCCCAAGGTTACTCAGCTACAGCTGGAACCCCGGGCAGTCTGGCTTTAGAAATCATTCTTTTGAAGCACAAAAATTATGTTACTGAAGACTAATTTTGAATGGTTCCACTGTCGCAGCAGAGTGGGATGCAGTCTCTAAGTTAAAAGCACAAGGATTTGTGGAAGTTCATGCCCTTATAGGCAAAACTCTAGGCTCCAAGAAAGTGTCAGGCTGCCTCATACATAACATTGGAGGATCCTGTTCATTGGGCACCATGAACAGCCCCAAAGAAAAAACTATGGGTGCTCTTACACCATGGATTTCATCTGTCCAATGGTAGCCTTCCACACTGAACTTTCAAGCAGCTAATCAGTGCTTCTTTTTTAAAGAGCAGAAAATTCAGGATCACCAGACATTTAAGGAAAATGCCAAACATGAAACAGATCAAAATAATCCATAAAAAGGAACCTAAACAGGACGGAAGAAATACAAAGTGTAGAAGAGAACATTTCAAAAAATTATACATCATTGTACACCATTCTTATAAGAGGAGCCAATAGATAATACATGAAAATAAAGGGGCGCCTGGGTGCTCAAGTTGGTTGGGCATCTATTTGTACCTTCAGAGATTAGAAGAAACTATATCCATGAAAGGAAAACAAGACATGATACAATAAGGGGGTGGGTGCAATGGACGATAAGATAGAGCATCCAGAAATTAAAAATATGACACCTGAAAATTCAATGAAACTTTGGAAGGTAAAGTCAATGAAGTTCCCCAGAAAGTAGTTCAAGAAAACAGAGATCAGAAAACTTAAAGAAGTTATCCTGGAAGCTATTTCAGAAAAAGCTTCCAGAAAGAGAAACACATAAAATGGTGGAACGGAAATCATCCATTTATGGAACAATTTTAAGAACTGAAGAATGAGTCTCCAGACATGAAAAATCCTAAGGGACTGGAAAAATAATTTATAAAAAAAATCCAAGCACATTATGCAACTTCAGAATACTAGTGAAAAGAAAATGCTAACAACTTCTGATAACTGTTTGAAAATTTTCTTAAGAATTTGGGGGTGGGGGCTAATAGCAACACGCATATGGAAAGATGGGAACTCATGGAAATTCCATAAACAAAGTAAGTGTAAGAGAGATGAAAGTTACCAATGTACCTTGCTTGACTCAGCAGTAAGCAATGTCATGGTAAATGTCAATACTGATGACTGATTTAACCATGGATAAAGTTTGTCTGTGGGGTCGAAATTCCCAAATACTTCTAAGAGGAGCCAATAGATAATCCATAAAAATAAAGGGGCGCCTAGGTGGCTCAAGTCCGTTGAGCGTCTGACTATTGATTTCGGCCCAGGTCATGAAATCACAGTTCGTGGGTTCAAGCCCCTCATCTGGCTCTGTACTGACATGTTGGAGCCTGCTTGGGATTCTCTCTCTCTCTCTCTCTCTCTCTCTCTCTCTCTGCCCCTCCCCCACTTGTGCATGCTCTCTCTCTCCTTTCTCTCAAATGAATAAACATTTAAAAAAAATAAAGGAATGTAACTGTATTAATGAGAAATAAGATGAAAGGTACTAAAACAATGTTTGAAAGAGTTGAAATGGTTACTTCTGGGGAGTTACCCAAATTAGAAAGTGAAATTTTTCTTTATTGTCCCATGTCTATACATCGTTTTTTGTTTAAAGTCTATTTATTTATTTTGAGAGAGACAGAGACAGTGCAGAGAGAGAGAGAGAGAGAGAGAGAGAGAGAGAGAGAATCCCAATTAGGTTCCATGCTCTCGGTGCAGAGCCCTACGTAAGCCTCGAACTCAGGAAATTGTGAGATTATGACCTGAGCCAAAATGACAATCCGGACGCTTAACTGAGCCACCCAGGCACCGATCCCATATGTTTAAAATAAATCTTTAGATATACATTCAAAATTTTGAAATATAAAAATATAATTTTCTCCTTGCAATCATCTGTCAGTACTGGTATTCTGCGAATATTTGCCTTTTCACTTGTAGCATTAAGTTAACCATGTACCATGAACATTTCACCCCAACCCATGTGGACCTCTTCACCTTTTTAAGTCACTATATAGGATTCATTCTCTGGTGTATTACATTTTTTTTCTTTTTGTAATTTTCTTGATATGGATATTAAGGTGCTTCTGATATTTTGTTATTAGCAACAACACATTGAGAAATACCCTTGTTACATTATTTGTGTACACACATGCTGTATTTCCTCAGAAATCATTGCTAGAAATGATGCTGCCTGTTGAAAATTTACCTTTTCACAAAGATTTCCCCATTACTTTCCAAAATGTGGACAAATGTAGACTCTGACAAATCATACTCTGTGCACATAATGATAATGGTGATTTTTTCATGCGGTATTTTTCCCTTCTATGATTTTGTTGTGAGAGATAAAAGCCTTCCAGAGAAAAACATAACGTTAAAGAACAAAGGTGTCGCTTGCATTGTTTCCAAATTTAATGAGAATATTGTTTGTCGTAACTGTTTTCTGAATAATTTTTTAAAACTGTTTGGTTTGGGGGCACCTGGGTGGCTCAGTCAGTTGAGCGTCCAACTTCAGCTCAGGTCATGATCTCACAGTTCGTGGGTTCGAGCCCCGCATTGGGCTCTGGGCTGACAGCTCAGAGCCTGAAGCCTGCTTTGGATTCTGTGTCTCCCTCTCTCTCTCTGCCCCTCCCCAGCTCATGCTCTCTTTCGCTCTGTCTCAAAAATAAATAAATAAACTTAAAAAGAAAAGTTTGGTTTGGTTTTCTCTGTTTTGTTAAGAAAAAAAAATCCCAGTTCTACTTTGTGAAGTGTTTTAATAAAGATAAACGTTAAATTTTCTTTAATATTTTGGTATTTATCAAATTGTTTTCAGTAAATGTGTACTCAGACAATAGGTAAATCCTTTGCTGCTTAAGTACACAGCAGAATGTTTTTTTAATTATTGTTTTCGAGAGCATATCTGGATAATTGTGTTTCGTATAAATATATGGATTTTTAAAACCAGAATCTGAATGATAGTTTCACTGTACTGAAAGAGGATTCCCTGACGGCTTATAACGTTTTCCTATCTATTGAAATACACAAGACTACTCACTTGACTGATTCAAGAAATTATCTTTTTTTTTTTTTTTTAACATTATCCTTAAGAAGATTTGTAAAGGAGCATTAGTCACATAGTCATGGAGCTGTATTTGAAAGACTTTTGAGCTTTTTCAACAAATGTACTTTTGTTTTTCTTTTTTAGGGGCACCGCAATTGCTGGCATCGTGTTTGGAATTGTATTCATCATGGGGGTCATTGCGGGGATTGCCATATGTATCTGCATGTGCATGAAAAACAACCGTGGGACCCGGGTGGGCGTCATCAGGACCACCCACATCAATGCCATCTCCTCCTATCCTGGTAAGCACAATCGCTTACTCCTTCTGAAGGAAGAGTCAGATTTGTTAGTTATGCTCTATGCCTTGGAGAGAGGAAACATTGAAGAGGTCACCACAATCATCTCCAAGAAGGTAGGGCATTTCTAAATTAACGTAGATTGAAGCTCTAACTTTCACTGGAGATTAATTAGGTCCAAGTAACAAAATCTACCTCACATCTGAAGGTATTCGTATTTTTTTTTTCAACGTTTATTTATTTTTGGGACAGAGAGAGACAGAGCATGAACGGGGGAGGGGCAGAGAGAGAGGGAGACACAGAATCGGAAACAGGCTCCAGGCTCTGAGCCATCAGCCCAGAGCCCGACACGGGGCTCGAACTCACGGACTGCGAGATCGTGACCTGGCTGAAGTCGGACGCTTAACCGACTGCGCCACCCAGGCGCCCCTGAAGGTATTCGTATTTTTAATGCCTGTCTCATTGACTGCAATTCCCAATCAGCCGGAGTTAAGAGAAATAGACAATTCACGCCCACTGTGTCTACCAGGCAGAGTTCTGACAAATAATTCTAGAGAAAGTGTAAGTGACATGTCTTAACAAACTGGCATCTGACCTAGTAGGTATGTATGTCTTAAGGAAAAGTATTAACTAAAGTTTTTACGTGTCCTCTTTATGCAAGGAAAACCCTCTTAACATAATAGCAAACTTCTCAACAAAGAAAATTCTCAGCAAAGGTAATACATTAATAATTTGACAGGTATTTGACGAGAATCTGCTAGAAGTTCTACATATAAACATATTGAATACATATGACTCTATAACCAAAGACTCCATTTTACATTAGGTGATTACACAGTAGAGTTTTCTAAGTCAGTCTATATATGTACATTTTGACATATAAAAAGGAGTCAAGTTTTAAATGTAATACATTCTTAAAAAGATAATTTCCCATCCACTGTATGTTCTTTCTCAGCTCCTTTATTTATTTTTATTTTTTTAATGTTTGTTTTATTATTTTTGAGACAGAGAGAGACAAAGCATGAGCAGGGGAGGGGCAGAGAGAGAGGGAGACACAGAATCTGAAGCAGGCTCCAGGCTCTGAGCTTTCAGAACAAAGCCCGACGCAGGGCTCGAACCCATGGAGTGTGAGATCATGACCTGAGCTGAAGTCGGACGCTTAACCAACTGAGCCACCAAGGTGCCCTCTCAGCTCCTTCAGAAAAGAGGGTACCTCGGGGTACCCTCTCCAGAGGAACAGTCAAAGCCAGAGGTTCCTCATTTTAGCCAAAGTAAATGGCAAATTCCTGACTGGGGGCTAGAAGGCAATGCATGAACTGGCTCCTCTTTTTCTTTGTCTGATGTCATTTTGTTCTCTACTCCATCTTGCCACTCTGGCTCCAGTCACACTCTTCCTTGAACACAGAAACATGCTCCGTGTACTCTGTGAACACAACAGGGCACACTCCCATCTTAGGGCTTTGCCTAGAACATGGACTCCCGCACTCAATTCAACTCTTTGTTCAAAAATCACCTCCTGACTGAGGGCTGCTCTGCCCACTCTATTTAAGAGTGTATTGTGTCCTTCCCCATTGTGTCCTTGTTCTACCCAGGTTTTTTTTCCCCAGAGTACTTTTAATCTTCTAAGATACCATATAGTTTATCTCATTGTTATATTTACTGTTTATTGTCCATCCCCTCCTTCTAGAATATTAGCTCCACAAAGAAGAAATCATTGTCTATTCTGTTCACCACTCAATCCCAAGTATAATACCGGGACTGGCACATAATGGCCATTTAAACAGATGTAGTTGAACAAGAGAGGAACACCACTCATGACAAGATCTGATGTAGTTATATACAAAAACCTAGAGAATTTACTTTAAATTCCACCCTGGAATATGTAGCTTTTACTCACACAAAAGCAATTCACAATGTGGATTCTTTCCAACTTAGTAAAAATTTTGTTGGGATTAGTGTAATGATGTTAGAACTCGAGGAAAGGGGAGAAAAGGGGGGGGTTGTTTTTTATTCTTCACATCTCCCTGTTTTTACCTGGTCAGCCCATAACTCAAGAGAACAGAGAGCAGTCAGAGAGAGACATTAACTAGAAAGAAGACAAGGAGAAGCCCTCTGTAGATAATATTCCAGATACACTTAAAAAAAAAAATTCTTAATGTTTATTTACCTTTGAGAGAGAGAGAGAGAGAGAGAGAGAGAGAAAGTGGGGTAGGGTCAGAGAGAGAGGGAGACATAGGATCCAAAGCAGGCTCCAGGCTCCGATCTCTCAGCACAGAGCCCGACGTGGGGCTCAAACTCAGGAACTGGGAGATCATGACCTGAGCCAAAGTTGGACACTCAAGCAAACTGAGCGGCGCAGGAGCCCCCAGATACACTTTTGCTTGACCAAAAAAAGCTTAAATTAAACATTAAACATTTAAAAACATTAAAAAATATTTTGGGGGGCACCTGGGTGGCTCAGTCGGTTAAGCATCCGACTTCGGCTCAGGTCATGATCTCGTGGTCTGTGAGTTCAAGCCCCGCATCAGGCTCCGTGCTGACAGCTCGGAGCCTGGAGCCTGTTTCAGATTCTGTGTCTCCTTCTCTCCCTGCCCCTTCCCCACTTGTGCTCTCTCTCTATCAAAAATAAATAAATATAAAAAAATTTTTTTTAATATTTTTTATAAAAGTAGAATGTAAAATACAACATATTTGAATGTGAGGGCTTATGTTTTCTCGGGTTTGAAGTTTCTATTTCATGCATGGATACATGTTTTTGAATGGCATCATATATTCTGGCAGATCACGACAGCATGTTGCATTTTCAGTAAATGCATTGTTCTGGGAACCGAATACCGTGAGAAACATAATAAACCTTATGGTGGAAGCATTTTTACTGCAAAAAGGCTAGGTCTTCACAGACATAATGTGCTTGATCACTTCTCATTTCCTTCACAAAGTAACTAATTAAGCTTTTACTTAAGAGATAGGAAAACACACAGAGTAGTATTGAATGCTTTTCAAAATCTTTCATCTGTAGACATATTACATATTTTTCCTCACAGTAATTAAATAACCTTGTGATAAATGAGGCAACCACCCAATTTATTGTATAGTCCTACAGCCTGCGGGCCACATGCATGAGTAGAAAATAATTTGGCCAAGGTCATCTTATTCCTTGCTGAAAGGGCTCAGTGAGGACACCTGCAGTGAACGCTATTTCTGTGCACTAGAGAGATTACTGAGAAAAGGTAGTCTGCCCCCCCTGATACTTTGTTGGACAATGACCTTCCAAAATAGTTTTTGTTCCTGCCATGTTGGGTAGAGTGACCAGTGTCCAGTTTAATTACAATTATTTGTCAAGTCTTATAACTTCCACTACTTTCCAGAACTTCATTGTGAGCAAAGGAAAGTGATCGTGCTAACCCTGTTTTTAAAAATAGGTTTGGATGATACACACTTGAAAGAAAAGAATACAGAAAGACCACAACAGAAGGCTTTGCAAAGATATAAAAATCAACAAAAGGAAAGCAAGGAATTTCAATGCTATCAAGAAATCTGAGATCTGAAGTATATTGTTGAGTCCCCTGCTGATTGCCTAATAGATGATAGATAGATAGACAGATAGACAGACTGATTTGGGTAAACAGTGGAAAAGGAGGGGGAAGTTCTTGCAAACAGAAAAATGACAAAGGATACATGTAGAAAGGGGTTGTGGAATTGGAAAAAATCATCATTTTTAAAACCATCATGAGAAAAGTTTAGGGGTGCTTGTGTGGCTCAGTAGATTAGGCAGCCAACTCTTGGTTTCGGCTCAGGTCATAGTCTCATGGTTCGTGGGTTTGAGTCCCACATTGGCTCTGCAATGACAGTGTGGAGCCTGCTTGGGATTCTCTCTCTTCCCCTCTGTCTCTGCCCCTCCATGCTCCTCTCTCCCTCTCTCAAAATAAACAAATAAACCTAAAAAAAAAAAAAGTTTGGGACAAGAGTCATTAATGATGCTGAATCTGGGGGAAGAGGCTGCAGGGGGGCAGGACATTTGCAAGTATCTACTCCCAAGTTTGCTGCTAGTTATAAGGGGAAAGATAGAAACCAGACAGTAGAGAAATCAAACAACATCTTGACCAGCCAGTAAAGTCACCAAAAAAGGACAGATGGACATCTTGCACCTTTGGGTATTAGTTACTCTGAAGATGACACAATTGTATATGTGTAGGATTCTGGTTGAAAGTTTACAGCTTGAATCTAAGCATGAAGAAAAAAAAAATCTGACAAAGCCAAGTTGAGAAGCATTCTATAAAATAACTGACTTATGGTCTTTAAAATCTCCTGGAAATATTTCATTAAGAAATCAAAACTCTAGGGTGCCTGGCAGGTTTAGTTGATTAAATTTCAGCTCAGGTCATGATCTCATGGTTTGTGAGTTCAAGCCCTGCATCAAGCTCTGCACTGACAGTGCAAAGCCTGCTTGGGATACTTTCTCTCCCTCTCTCTGCCCTTCCCCTGCTCATGCTCTCTCTTTCTCAAAATAAATAAACAAAGCTTTTAAAGAATTTTAAAAAACTCAAAACTCTAGGGGCACCTGAGTGACTTAGCTGTTTAAGCGGCCAACTCTTGATTTCAGCTCAGGTCATGATCTCACAGTTCATGAGATGAAGGCTTGTGTCCGGTCCTGTGCTGAGTGGAACCTGCTCTCTCCCCTCTCCCTTTGTCCCTCCCATGCCATCTCTCTCTTTTAAAGTAATTAAACATTCAAAAAAAGAAATCAAAAATCTATTTGCATCATTTAATTCACAAATGAGGGTAACCTTATTAGTATTTGCACTGAACACACAGACTTTCATATACTTATCAAAGGATTTGGTGATAGGAGGATAGTATCTTCTGATTGTGCCTATATTCTTACAGAAATTAGAAACAAGTCTTGTTCAGGGGCGCCTGGGTGGCGCAGTCGGTTAAGCGTCCGACTTCAGCCAGGTCACAATCTCGCGGTCCGTGAGTTCGAGCCCCGCGTCAGGCTCTGGGCT